GTGAATTTCTTTTTGCAGATCTTACTGAGTTTAGACGGAATTACAAGTTAATTCCCTCAAGAGTAGATTTGATTTCAATTCACTGTGAATTAGATGAACTCTGCAATGTTTGTTCAGTTTCGTGATCATATTGCACAAGTCTCACATAGGTTCCTTATGAGATGATCACTCAAGTTTTACTAATAGTGATGCAAATCTGTATTTTCTTCTTTTGCTTTTGTTTTATGATATGGTATTCTTCTTCAACACATGCCTAGAATCAGTCCTTGCCATTTACAGTTAATGGATTTCATAACGTAGAATCAGAAATTGTTATTATGTTTGCTAAATTGGAGATTTCTCTTGTTTTCTTGCAGGCATGCCTTTGAATGTATTAGGTGTTGGTGCAGGTAAACATTGGAACCTCTGCTTCTGCTTCTTACTATATACTAAATTTTTTCTCTACCCACCAATGCACAAATGGATGTGATATTATTTTTACTTGTCAAGGTGGTGGCTGCGGTGTGGGTTTGGGTCTCGGGTGGGGTTTCGGGACTGCCTTTGGGAGTCACTACCGATCATCTAGACTGACATTTCAAGGCATCGAGTTAGAGAAGGCAGAGAAACGCGAGGATAAATTACAAAACATGTCAAAAGACACTTAAGCAATTCCTTGTTTCAATACTTTGATTTTAGTCCCAAATCACTAAGAGAAAACTCTAGAAATAGTCTGCTTGGATTGATTGTATGAGAAACAAAGTCAGGTCTTTTCCTATATCTCAATGAAAACATGTTTCAAATAATCAAACCAAAAAAATGCATCTCTACATTGCAAATCAATCAAAAACAGTGGGAATTACTGTACAGTAAAGACGTAGATTGCCAAATCTGTCTCTTTCGTGGTGAACAACCCGATACACAGAAGATGAATGAACTCGAGCGTGGTCTTCTACATTGTATGAACTGCGACTACCACTGCAATGACAAAATGGGCCATCTTAAAACTCAATTTGAATGGATGCAAGTTTTTCTTTCCAAAAAAGTATGTGATCTTCTGATTGCGGATCAAAACTAAGTTCGGATTAGTAAATATTACCTATCAGAAAAAGTAAAAGAAGAATCCAAATTGCAGCATGAACAGGTTTACTATATCGCATTTGATACTGAGACCGTTGAAGTTGCCTCTGTATTGCTCCATACCAACCGTGAAGCTGTTTATCGTAACAGTCCTCCTCACACTCCATACAGCTTTTGTCTCTCTCAAAACATCCATTCATGACTTGCTGAGAAACAGAGAAAGCATTTCCATCAAGATTATGTGTTCCTCAACTACGCTTTAGAAAAATCTTGCGGTAAGGAGATCGATCTTACCTGGTTCGATTGGATAGGTAATAACGCAGCATCAGCGTCTCCTTGACGATCTGCAGCCTTCCACTTTCTAACGCAGTTTTTGGACCCAGGCTCCATATAATTTAGGAACCCAGAGACGCTAGGTACTTTCCGCGGAGGTCGAACCAGTGGCTCATCTGAAGTTTTATGCAATAAACCGTCATCAGAAACGGCAATGTTCCAAGCTCCAATGTCAGCAGTAGCACTTGCCGTCCTTCGATGTCCATGAGGCATTATTGGTTTGCCATGATTTGTCGAAAGTTGTTTCTTTTCGGAATCAGTTGGTCCAGTCAAGAAGAGGGCAAGCTCATTACGATCATCTTCATCCAAACGCACCCATCTCGGAGTCCCTTTACCATCAGACTGCGCCGCTTCTTTGAGCGATTTCTCGATTTTCGCCACCTGAGTTTCCATAACGAAAGTAAACTCACGATGCCTATGTCGAGTTTCGTCACTCAAAGCATTTTCATAGCTAGATTTAACAGCTCGTTGAAACTCATCTAACTGCACACCAAACAAGATACACAAATCAATCAAACTTACATAACAACAACAACAAGTATAATACCAATATACACAAGAAACAATTAGATTGAGAACCTGCCATTTGGTGGTTCCAAGAGCGGCTTGAAGATCTCTGTGAAACTGGTCAGAGTTCCATACATTAGAAAAATCTTGTTTCCCATGGATCCATGTCCTGTAAGCTGACTCCATCCTACACATAAATTCGAAGATACATTTTGGATAAAAACAATCACATTTCAAGATCTACAATCTCATTATCAGAGAGTCTCATTACAGAACAATGACGGTTTCAATTTCACAGATCCAACAAACAGAAACTGCGAAAAGGAAAGGATATTTCTCCCACCTGTCTGCAGATTCCTGAACTTCTTCGGCAGCCGCAAAGAAAGGATCTTTCTCCCACCGATCCAAACTCGTCGTCATTTCTTGAGAAAAGAAAAAAAACCCTAATTTCCTAAACAAATCTTCTAAGGGAATGTTGTTATGAATCCTCGAAACCCAGAAAGCAAAATGCGTCGCTCACGAACAGAGATTGAAAATCGGGAAAAGATGGAGATAGAGATCGAAAGATTAGAGAAGAAAGAAAACGGGTCATCATCAATGGCCAAATTACGGCCTTTCCTTAACACGCACGTGCCGAATTCGTACGTTTGATGTTCAGACAAGTACCATTAACGATAAAACCACACAAAAGAAAGACAAAACCAATATCAACGCACTTAGACCGGTCCCTACGCTCTCAATCGGGTCTTCGATTTCCTTTGGTACCTAAAATGGAATAAGTTTTTAGCCGTAAAAGAGAACGGTTTTTAGCAATAATCAAAACTTCTGCAGGTTTTTCCGAAGCAAGTGTACACGATCGAAAAAGGCGCATAGCAATGTTTAACTTGGTATATGATATATATCACTATATTAAGTTAACTTGGTATATGATACAAAAATATGTATTCTATCAATTTTCTTCACCAATTATGTACAATTCTTAATGATTAATGGAATACCAGATGTTAAAAAAAAGAGATCG